ATAAACTTCCAATTTTACCCTATTGACATGAAAAATTTTTCAAATTTACATTACATTCTCTCTCATAGTTAATGAGTTTAAATAGGGGTAATATAGGGAAAACGTATTTAATATCCTATGAAGTGCCTTATATTAAGGACAAAAGAATCCTTCTAAAAGGCACCCTTTAATAGGGACCAGAGGGAGTACTTGGCAGCTTGAATAGGCTTCAATACCATGTGCAGAAACCACTTCAACATGGTTCCATGACTGTAAATATCTTCAGTGAAAATCATTTCCAAGATAAGACTGAATATTGTATCAAACTGGAACAAACTGAAGTTATTAGACCATCAGTAGTACTGTACTATAAATCAATAAGTGACATGGCATTACCTCATGAAGAGTCTCTGTGCTCCTATCTGAGAGTAGGAAAACAGGAAAATCGTAGGATTTCCACATGATAGCAGAACCCTGTAAAAATAAAATGAATTGACAATTATAAATGACTCATTGTGCTGTTCCCGGACCATACTAGCATCAGTAGATATCCAGCTTAGATAATCTTTATTCCAAGCATAAATCTTCAAAAAGTAATCCAGAATAAATTTGTCCCATCCATAAGTGTTTTTCTTTAAGATAAAATTTTATTTTCTTATTTTACAATCGAGCCACCTGATTTCCCAGAATATGCTAGACAAAATCATAAAGGAAGAACTTAAAGATTAAGACCTCTTTGGCAACCAGAGTACAAATTAACGTCAAGTTGTGAATTGTCATACAAAAATGCAAATCTTGCTAAAAAGTCCTATCATACAGTTGGATTCCATTGATATCCAGTGTTATGGTAAGGAGCAAATTCAACTTGAGGAAACTTTAGGTCTGGAGAGAATCCTACAATTCACAAAATAAAAACTATCATAAGCAACTTGGCATTGCTTCAACATATTGAATGAGTAAAAGGAAAAATAATTACCCTTCAACTTATTCTGCACTCCAGCTCCTGACTCAACTAGCACCCCAGCAACCTTACTTGCAAAGTTTGAATCAGCAGATATTCTGAAGGAAAAATTCAGGTTCAACAAATGGATATAATTTCATAAATGATAGATGAATATACAAATTAAAAAAAAAAAGGATAAAAAAACTACTAAAACACAACTATGCAAGGAATTTCTTTCAATGGCAGAAAATATTAAGTTTCCACAACTTTATTTTTAACTTCCTTAAAGAAAGATTAAAACATCAATGATCAATCCACATAAAATAGCCCAAGTCACAGATATCAACAACCTATGATTTTACAAGACAATAAACAGTTATTGGACCCCAAAATTAGCTTATCCAGAATATTCTTAGCAACAAAGTCATTGATCTTGAATTTCAAGAATTCACTTCTATTTTTTCTTGTTAGAGATCACATTTCAAAAGAATAGTCAGTAGTCAAATTTTTTCAAGTAAAAATAATAAAATTAGTCTCTAGGTTCTTCAAATCTACTATATTTAAAAGAACCAACAAGAACTAGCTAATATATGGTGTAGGAAGCATATAATTATACCAAATGCAAATAATGTCCACAACAAAGAGAGAAAAACAATGACAAATCAAAAGGCAAAAGCTATTTTGCAGCTCATGAGAATATACTCGCCGTGACACACAAACCAAGGATGTCAATGGATAGCACAATGTAGATCTAAGAATAAGAAATGCAAGGCATGAAAAGGAAAAGCTCCAATGTAGATCTATATCAAAATTTGATATACATGCCTTGTTAAGAGACTTTCAAACTCATCCAATGACACCAGTACAGCAGATGACTTTGACAGCTGATTAGCATTTTTGAATGACACTATTGGGGCAACAACCTTGTCTCGTCCAGGATCTAAGTAATACATTAAGGGAAGAACGATGAACCAGATTATTATCACAATGACATTCTAATTGCACCCAGCATTGTAGATAATGTAAGAAATAAGACAAATTTCTGTGAAGACTCACTGGAACAACCAATTGGTCCAGAAAGACTTAGTAGCCGCACACAAGGATATCCATCAACAACCTTGTACATAGACTTCTGAAGGTCAGGAACTGATTCCATGGAGAAGGATTGCCCTGAATTATTACCAAAATAGGAATGGGACAGAATCAGCAAATAATAGCACTAGAAAGTTCAACAAATATAAGAAAAAGCAGGTAACTAACTGTTTCATGATAGAAATTAGTCACACTGAGTTAAGCATTAAAAGTGAGAAAAGCAATTTTGTAATTAGGCAAAGAAAACAAGAATCCTACATGATCTATTGAAGTTAGTTATAGCTGAGGAGATATGATACTTGAGGCTCCAGTATACTAAGTCACAAATGATTTGCAGAAAAAATTAGAGAGTAAAAAATGGAATAGCTGAACTCATTTTTTTCTCTCTCATTGCTATACCCCTTCTTCTCTCATCTCCCCTCTCCTTCGATACCCATAAATCCAAAGGGTATCAAAGTGGGAAATTCACATATCTCTGATGGAAGCTGCAAGATGCTAGTGTCAATAAAATATATAGAACAATGATTGAAGAGTGCAATGGAATAGTATGAAGCTCAGCAAGAGAACAATTGAAGGTGTTAGCAGACAAGGTTGTTCAAATCAAGAATCAGATCAACAACTTGCAAGAGATGATACTAGGCCTTACATTATAGTAGAGCAAATTAATCCATGAACGGAGACAAGAACAACCACATGTTAGGACCAATTTGATTCCAGAGGACAGCCAATTACCAGGAAACAATGAGATTTACAAAGATTGACTTTCCAAAATCCACTCAAGATGGTGTGAACTTGAGGGATGGATGACTAAGAGTGAACACTTCTTGTCCGACAGAATACCAGAAAATAACCTAATGGTGATTGCAAGCTTGACATTGGATGAGAAACCTCTCCAATGATTATAAGCTTTTGAAAACAGCAAAGGTGGGGAGCTAACATGTAGTGAGATGACTCAGCCTCTCAGGGATACAGAACCCATTTAAGTTTGATATTCGATGATCCCTGGAAGAGAGCTCATGCAGCTTAGTTAGGCAAACAGGACCATTATCACAGCGGACCAGGATAGCTTCAATAAACTGATACGTAAAATAGAATTGACTTAGAGCCAAAAACTCAGTTGTTAGATTGCTAAATTGAAATCTGAGATTGCAGATCGAGTCAAACATTTCCAACCTAAAACGTGTGCTTCCTTTACCCAATTACAAAATTACCCCCTTCACACAATTAATCATCCTTGTAATTTATTTTTATAATGCCAAAATTGCATAGAACCCCCAAATTTCAAAATTTGACAAGAGAATTTTTCCAAGCTATAAAATTTGCAAATATCACACCTTGAACAGAAGCAACACATCAAAGAGCTATTTGCACATAACTTGTAAGTCGCGAAAATTATACACAAATATATCAAAATTTAAAGGAATAGAACGTACGAAAAGCATAGAGGTTTAATATCACTTAGGGATCACATTCATTAGTAAAATAACGAACTCCAGAATGTTATCATTAGACACAGTTTAAAAAGTTTGTTATCAAGTTTCAAATGTTATCATTAGGCTCAAATTTCACTGTGGCCATGAATCTTAACCTTTTATAATCAAATATATGAACTACAATAATTTTAAAACACTAATAATAATAACAAGGATATGAGCATGGACTTTTGCGACTTCATTAGTGAGCCTAACCGTCCGAAGTGCGAAAAAATATGCTTTGTCTCAGAAACTAAAACCCCCATCTGTTAACAAGAAACTGGAGACAATGTATTAAAACGTGTAGTTACTAGATTTTACAGTGAGAGAAAGACAAAGAGAATAAGCTCATAAAAGTTCAAATCTAGAATAGCTCCTCCATCTTCCAGCAGCAAGACCAGGTTTCTGCTCAAAACTCGTTGGGCCAAGTTTTACTCAGGATTAAAAGTAGAATTGGAGGTTTATAAGAAAAAGTAGAATTAGAGACCAAATCATTTAGCAGAATGGATATAGTAGATCGAATAAGCCACAAACTGTTACCAGAAAAGGACAAGCGGACACCAAAGCATAGAAGCAAGCACAGAGACAGAAATTTTGCCGCCATGGCTAGAATCTTTGACACGGTAAATCCTCAGAAGCCGTAACCTAGACCATGGAGGAGTGATTGGCGAAGGCTGAGCAGAGAACCTCCTACGCGCGGTCTTCTTCGCCAGAAACCACGGGGAAATTTGCCACGACGGCCGATGAAGTCAATTAGACCAAAACGAATCCAACGGCTTGGATTCAGTTTCGACCATTGTTGTAAAAATTATTAATTATTATTAATTATTAATTATTAATATTACATCACACAACCATCACTTAAATTATTAGATTTTAAGTTTTTAATGTTTTCCATCTCTCTAATTTCAATAAGTTGAGTGACCTTTATTATAAAGATCTATAATTAAAAAGTTATCAGAATTAAAAATAAAATCTACAAAAATTATAAAAATTAATTACATATAAAATATATATTAATTTTAAAATACATTTTAAATTATAATAATTATATTTTGAGAGAATGAAAATAAAATTTCAAAACAATAAATTTATGACAATCAAGTATCTAAAAAATTTATTATAAATATTAATTGAGATTATTTAATTTAAGAATTCAAAATACAATAAAACATTTAAATTTTAAATATAATTTTTAATTTTTAATTGAAATTTCAAATTATAAATTAATATTTATAATTTATTTTAAAAAAATTATTAGAAATCTAATTCTTATAAATTTTCAGTTTTGACTTTTTAATCTTATCCTTCCTATATTTTTTATAGATAAAATCATTTTTCATCACTTTAAGTTTTAAAGTTTGTTTAAAATATTTTTTGGGTTGGGCTAAACCCGACTCAAAACAAGTGATCACCAGCCATCAGGCTTGATGCCCGGCTAGTGTGCGCCCATACCCGATCCTTAACACTTTCGACCCGACCAAACAAAAAGCTTACACCCTTAACCTTTTACCCTTCTTTCATCTTCCCGCCTCCCTATCACGGCCCACTCCGTCGCTTATCCGGTCTCCATCGCGTTGGCGCTCCATCGCTTCGTCCTCTGGTACTTGGTCTTCGTTCCTCAGCTGCTGTTCTTTCCTCGGCTTTGCCTCCGTCTTCACTTCGTCACTTCCTCCGCCGCCACTCCCCGTGAAAGCTGTTTTTTAGGTGTGTGGCGTTCCTTTCACTCTCTCTGTAAATTATATATATATATATATATATGAGGATGACTATATGCTCATAGGCTTCAGATTTAAGTAGGCAGTTGACAAATTTGCATTTATTTTATACGCATAATTGTGTCTTGTGAACATTGAATTGATGACAGAGGAAAGCCATGAGGAAACTGAAGTTTCATGAGAAGAAGTTATTGAAGAAGGTGAATTTCTTAGAGTGGAAGAGAGAAGGAGGTCACAGAGAAAATCATGTTATTCAACGCTATCATATTACTGGACGTGATGATTACAAGAAGTACTATTCTTCGTTAAATTATGTTTCTCATTGTTCTGAATTTGGATAGTTTACTATGTTTGAAATTTAACTAATGCAATTCTTTATTTTGGTCATTGGAATGGTGAAAATACCAATAGATATTCAAGTCTGTGCCGGATGGTGCAAAAGTTAGTAAACATGCTGAAGCAAATGGACCCAAAAGATCCATTTCGGATTGAGATGGCTGATAAGCTCTTAGAAAAGCTGTAAGTTTTATTAGCTATGAAATTTCTAAGTTTTGATTAGTGAACTGACTTAAGCTGCATTTAATGTTGTTTTTGAAACGACATATATAAATATGTGTTAATATTGGTCTACGATTCCTTATTAATCAATGTATCATCCAGGAGTTTCATTTCTACCTTTTGGCCTCTGCAGCATGCATTTGGATTACCTAAATTCATCACGAACAGGGCTGCAAATGACATGTCCATTGTTGAATAATTTGTGACTAAAAACCCTAATTTATCTCTCACAACTCATTTCTTCAGTAAGCCTAGGTAGGCAGAGGGATGGCATGGGGTGCTGGTAGATAGGATTGTTTTGAGTCTTAGGGATTTGTAAAATGTTGGAGGTGGTAGCTGTAAAACTGATGTTTGTAGCAGTTGTTATAATGGTAATGTGAGGATGTGATGGCCGAGGTGATGGAGTTGATAATTGGGTATTGAGATGATGATGGCAGTGCATGAATGTGAGGGCAACAAGCAGGGATAGATGATGAAAGGACTTTAGGTTATTATTTGCTTTTAGATATTAATTGTTTTCATCCTTTAACTGTTGGAGTTCAGAACAATTTTTTATTTTTCTCTCCAATTACATGGATTGACGAAATTGTTTGGTCATATTAATTGTCTATCATTGGTACATTTTTACCTACATTTTGGAATGCAGAGAACCGATATTTATTATCCCTCTCTCTCTCTCTCTCACACACACACACACGTGAATGATAGGTACAATATTGGCGTGATTCCAACCAGGCAAAGCATTACACTTTGTGATCGTCTAACAGTGTCATCCTTTTGTAGGTAAGAAAAAACCATTTCACTCCTTCAATATTTTAAATGAAAAATTAATTATTAGTTTGTGATTTTTTGTACGCCAAAGATTCCTGATGACTGTAGTGCAGGAGAATGAAAAGGAATTATTTTTAATATTTAAAACAACGTTAGTCATCTTCTAAAGGCAGAAGGTATTATGATTTATGATACATTAGTACCTGTTACAGGCGTAGTCTGTAGTTTAGTGTGCAGAAACACAAGAAAACCTAAAAAGAGATGGCAATATATAGCACTAAATTCTAAATTATGGGATAGATATGTTTTTTAAGTTGCTTCTTACATTCTTTTCCTGTTGTTTCAACACTAATCCTAGACAATTATGTAATACAAATGGTGTGGGAACCTTAATTTCGCCACTCATATATCTTTCCCAGCAACCTAAATATTTTTAAGCGGATAAAAGAAATTATAAGACAACCTAAATTAATTTAACACAAATGGTGTGGTAATCTTTTGTCTTAATGTATTTGACCTTTTCACAGGGGAAAAAAACGCAGAGGATGGGTTATCCTAATGTCCTTCTAAAGGAAATATCAACACCTAAAACTATAAGATAGAAATTGAATATAAACTTATGCAGCAAAGCTACTTAATCTTTCTGCATATCTTATAGAGACGTCCCCTCATAAAAGCCCTAAGCCAAATGCCATATAAAAGCTAAATCTATTATCCCAGCCCGTTAGATAAACACCCTTAAAATGTGAGCTCTGTGCTTTGATCAAATATTTCCATGTGCTGGTAATATGGTGCATTGCCACAATGTTCTACCCTACTTTTATCCGAAATCCTTTGAACTGTATAATGAGTGCCCCTGTGACACACCTATCTATTACTGATCCCAAACAACTTATTTCACAAGTGGCAATGGCAGTATGGTGAGCTTCAGCTTCTGCGTTGTTTATACACGTAATACCAATATTTGATCCGCAAATGAACATGCCATTTGTATTGATTAGAGTGTTGCTGTCCAAATAAGCGTCTTCATCTCTTAGGCTGGGGGTCAGGGAGTGACAAATTGTGGTAGGGACGAAACCTTGTGCATCATCTTTATAAAATGAAGGCTAATTATGATCAACAGGGGAACTAGAATAAGATTATGAAATGAAGACTAAGAAGAAGATATGTGCAGTATACTTCTAAAGATTTTAGAACTAATCCAAGTATTTTTTTGAGATAATTCAGCTGTTCTACTTTATTAACATTATACCCTTGTGTTCTTAAATTTTGTTTACCCCTTTTGTAGGCGTAGGCTTGCAACTGTTTTGGTGCGATTAAAATTTGCCGAGTACTTGAAAGAAGCTGTCACATACATTGAACAGGGGCATATAAGAGTTGGTCCAGAGACAGTCACTGATCCTGCATTCCTTGTAACCAGAAATATGGAAGACTTTATCACATGGGTGGATTCATCGAAGATAAAGAGAAAGGTTCTACAGTACAATGACAAATTGGATGACTATGATCTAATGAACTGAGGCATGGATTTGGACATCGCCGTAACAGCCAACTGCTTCAGAGTTGAACTGTTGAGTTTTTTTTTTTTTTTTTTGGGGTTAGGAAAAAATACAAGGTAGAATTTGGAGGGATGGGGTACGGATTGAATGCCAGCATGGGTTGTATTGAATTTGTTGGGGCTTTTTTTTTTTGGGTATTTATGTGTCGAATTTTTGGTCTTTCGGTAATCAAGCTTGATATCTAAGCATTCGGTTATAGTACAAATTTGCCCATGAAGTTTCCATCCAGATGCACCTCATATTTTAAAGTATTTTGTGGTACAATTTTGTCCTGTGGTTAGAGTTTGATTATGTTGACTGTTAAGTTGAAAAATTGACTGTTATATGCCATGCGAGTTGGCCATGTGGCATTCACGTGTCATTTGTCTACCCTGCCCCTTTCACTTTTCTCTTCCAAGCCCATGTGCAGTTCACGTCTTCCCTCCCGTTTCTTCTTCTTTCTCAGATTCCAATCCCCATGACCACTTCAATCATATCCCTTTGGTCTACCATTACTGTCGCTTCCTCCTTCTCCTCTCCCCTTAAACTTCATTGGAGATAGCGAGTAGCAGCAGTGGTCGAGTCCAATTACCTTCTTCTCTGAGAACCTCAAATTGCTTCTCTGAAATCATTGCCCCTATCGCATTTGCCTTCCTCTCCAAGCACCACTAATTATGACACCGTATCAGCCATACTCATCCAAGTATTTTTTTTTTTTTTTTCCTTTTTCTAATTTTTGAGGTCTGCTTCAACAAGTCTGGAATTTGAAATCAAGTGTTGACTCCACTGTCGCTGGTTCCACTTGTGACGAAGCAGGAAGCTTCTTTTATACTGGGTTCGATCATGGCCTGATACAAGCTTTTCAGACTCCTCGCGAATTTTTATCAACTCTATGGATTAGTCACATATGGGTTTTGGATTCTTGCTCCTTTTGAAAGATGGTTTTTGTGATAGGTATTGTGGGACTAATACAAGCTTTTCCTGTGATATGTTATGGGACTTCTAGTTTGAAATATATTTTGATGGTTGATGTTCTTTAGGTTTGATTTCTAAAACATTGTTAATTTTTTTATTTCTCAATTTCTAGTATGTTGTAATTTCTGGTGTGCTGCTCCTTGGTTCTTGGCCGTGCTGTCCTTACAAACTAAAGATGGAAGTATTGAGGGACTAGAGAGCAACACGAAGAAGATGGGGAAGGGGGAAGGGGGAAGGGTTCGAAGGAGAAGGCAAATTAGGGACCTTTGCAAGAAGAAGGATTAGGAAGGGCAAAGGAAGGAGAACTGGAGAGGTGAAGAACACAAACGACGAAGGGAAGGGGACTGAATATCTACATGGAATTGTTCTTTTTTTTAACATGGGGTGGCAGTCCAGTGAGGCACAAAACAGTGAAATTTTCAAAGAAAGCAGTCAAAGGTTGAGAGCAAGGCGAAATTCTACCAAATTGAAAAACATTGAAGCAAAATTATACTAAAAAATATATTAGAATATGAGGTATGCTTGAGTGAAAATTTTAAAGGTAGATTGGTGTCATTACCTCTAAGCATTTGGTTTTTTTTTTTCTTTTTGGTTAAAAGATAAAAATATCTTAAAACTTTTTATGAAGGGAGCTTGTTATCATAAACTTTTTTGGGATAATCTCCCCTTCAAACTTTTAAAAAATGTACAATTTCTCCCCATTATTAATATTGACAGGTGTTTGACTGTTAAATTTTTATTTTGAGTCCATGCTTTACATGTGTCATCCCCTCTCTTTGTGCATTGTTCTTCTTCATCTTTCTCTTTGATTACTAATGGAAGGGAATTTTGGCTCCTTTAAAAAAGAGTTTAGGAGAAAAAATATCTCACCTACTAATATATGATGTCCAGCACTCATAAAAAAAAGTACAAAAGTAAAAATATACTTTAACCCTTGTTTTTTTTTCATGCTCTTATTTGTTTTTAACTATTATTTTTTCATGTGAATGAAGTTTTCAATACTTATTCAAACAAAAAAATATATATGTTATTTGTATGTTATAAATAGAATGTATACAGCTTTATAATAAGATATATTTTTTGACTATGTGTTTTGTATGGATTTTGTTAAAAAGAACTTATAAAATATCATAATTTTATTGTATTAGAGGATAAATTTTTATTTATATGATTCTCAATGATGAAAACTTTTAAATATTTTTTATTTATTTAATATAAAAAGTTGTTTTAATTGATAAAGAATAATAAAAGTATAATTTTTCTTTTAAATTATGTTACCCATAAATAATGAGAATAATGTTGCTCAACTTGTGTTAAAAGTAAAAATTATGAGCTTGTTTGAAACTGTTTTTTATTTTATTAATCTGAGAATATTTAGAAGTTATTTATATTCTTTTATTCTCTAAAACAATGTTTTATTTTTTTATTTTCCAAAATACTTTTTTAAAAATACATTATCAAACATATTTTTTATTTTTTTATTTTGTTTTGGAGAGTAAAAAACTGTTCCCATAATAGATTGCCAAACAAACCCTACAATTTTGTCCCTCTTTAAATTGTATTAAAAAATAGTAAAAATATTTTTTCATATCATGTACCATATATATTGCATTAATCTGACATAACAATAATTATATTAATAAAATAACAGTTAATTGATAGTAGGAGGCTTTGAAAAATAAAATTAAAGGTTAGAGTGATCAGTTTTAAATGTTAAAGAGGTGATGTGGGTTATATGCAATTGCCTCAAAATTTAGGAACTTATATGCATTTTAGTCTAATATTAAATAGGGTTAAAGTGTTAATTTATCTAATTTTTTAAGATCCAAAAAATTATACATAATTATTTTGTATAAAAAATTAATATTAATCAAGTCCTTTAAATTATAAATAAATTATAATAAATTAATGTTATTTCTTGCTCACATTAAAAATCAAAATATCATTTGAATCAATCTCTTTGATGGGCTATCACATGATTTTCAGATCACCACTATTGGTAAAAGCACTGATAAATGATTAAAAAATAATTTAAATATTATTATTATTTATTAATCTTCACACAAAATTTAACCGTCAACTTTTAAAATATACAAATTTCCTAAAAAAAATTATAATTTTACCTAGTTAAAATTTCTGGAAGAGAGATTATAAATTTTAAAGAAATACATGTAAATTTAAAAGGCTGAAATTTCATATTTGAGGTGGTAATGCTTAATCGATAGCATGAAAATGCCATTTGTTTTAATTTTATGAGAAAAAAAAAATTGAATCTCTACACTTTGTTTAAGTTTTGCTATAAATCTTTGCATTTTTTTTGATATTTTAAATTCATATATTTTTATTTTCTAATGTTCCAAACCCTTATAACAATACTTATTGAAGGATTTAAAATATTAAAAAATAAAAATGTAAGGATCTGAAATACAAAAAAAAAAAATAGAAATATGTAACAAAATTTAAACAAATATAAAGATTTAAAGTTATTTTTTTCTAATTTCATTGAAGGCTTCGTCTCGTTAGATATAAAGAGAAACAGTTGGGTCAAGCATGGGAACGAACGCGTCATTTGTGTTGATTTCATCGACGGTGCTGTCCAGTTATGAGGAGAAACCAAAGGTCTGTGATGAAACATGTCATTTGCATCGTTTTTTTTTTTTTCTTTTGGGCAAACCATTTGTATTATTTTTATTTGAGCTATAAACTTTTTTTTATAAAATAAAATATGCCAACATCCCTTTTATTTTATCTTAGTTATAGATTTTTTTTCTATTTTTAAAACTTATATAAATCTCTTTAAAAATCAAAATCTATATAACACATAGCTCTCGTCTATTTTAAAAATTCCATTTTTATTCATTCAAAACTATTAATTAACCATTAAATCATATATTTTTAACTAAAATACCCCCTCTTTAACATAAATTTTGTTTAAGAGTCATTTAAATTTTTAAATAATAATTATAATAATAGAAAAATGATAATAAAATTTTATCAAAATATATAAATGATAAATTGATAATCAGGTCTTTCAAAATACTATAATTTTTCTAAAATCTTTAAGTATCTTTTTGATATTAATAATTTTAGGTTAAATGATTATCTCTAGTTTAAAATAAAACAAAATAATGAGTTCATATAAGAAATTGTGATTTCTTCTTCAATTCTTATAATTTATAAAATAAAAATTAAGATTGCTTGAACAAAATTTATAATTAATTATTTTCAAAACTTGAACTTAATGATAAAAAAAATTACATATGCGATGTGATTTTTTATTCAATTCTTGCAATTCATATAATAAAAGTTATGAGTTTTTAAACAAAAGTTGTAATTGATTGTTTTCATAATTTAGACTTCAATAATAAAAGAAATTTCATGTGAGAAGTTGTAATTTTTTGTTCAACTTTTATAATTCACATAATTAAAGTTATGATTACTTAAATAAAAGTTGTAATTGAGAATAATTATTTTCATAACTTATTTATCAACCATAAAATAAATTTCACATAAGAAGTTATTATTTCTCATTTAATTGTTGCGATTCAAAAAACAAAAATGTTGATTACTTAAACAAAAATTGTACTTAAAAAAATAGAGCCAAACCCATTATTTTATTTTAAATAAGGAACAATTTAGTCAATTAACATAAAGTTATTCATGTTAGAAAAGTATGAAGAAATTTCAAAAGAATTATAACATTTTGAGAAACCTGATTATTATGTATATATTTCGTTGAGATTTTATTGTCATTTTTTATAATATATAAGTTGACAAAATAATATTAGTTAATTTAAATTATTAAACTAATAATTTAAGAAAAATTACATATAGGTCTCATAGATTAACTTATTCACAACAAGTCTTATAAAATTCAAAAACTGCAGCCAGATCTCTTGATACCTGAGTCTAATTTAAGATTAAGCTACAATGACAATAATATCTTTATTAACATACATTACATTAATCAAATAATTAATTTATAGCTATTTTATCAATAATTTACAATTATAATTTTACCTTTTTATAATTGTTACTTCATATATTTAATAATTAAATAATTATACGTTACTAACAAAGTTTAATATTAATTATTTATAACTATTTCATCAGTAATTTATAGTTATAATTTTAATTTTTTACAACTATAACTTTATATATTCAATAGTTAAACTGATCAATTTAATTATTAGATATATGAAATTGTAGTTTTAAAATGTTGAAATTATAGTTATCAATTATTTAACTCATGTAATATATATATATATTTCATAGGGACCTTATTGTTTTTTTTTTAATTCAAATTTTTAATTAGACTTAGGTTTTAAGAGACCTAGTTGCAGTTTTTAAATTTTGTATGACTTATTTGTCAATAAGTCAGCTCCACAGGACCTATTTATAATTTTTTTTTCTATAATGTATTAAATTAAAACAAAAATCAAGTAATATATCATAAAATTTATAAAATAATTATTTATTATTATTATAACCAAATATAAAATAATTTTTTTACAAAATTTTTATAAAATAAATATTTTTTATAAAATCTCAGAATTACTTAAAATTATTTATTTTTTAATCTTAAATAAATGAAGCTTAATGTACCACCTAAAATGAGACAGCACAATGAAGACTCAAAATGATATATATTTTTGCTTAATATTAAAATACATGATATTGCTATTCTGGACTGGGTCGCGAAAGTCCAGTCCATTGCGAAATTTGCGATGCGGGTATAGGCTGATTGCTGAGAAGCATTCGCAACCTACGGATTTCGCGGTTGAGGGAGAGGAGGTAGCAAGACGGTGAAAAGGGAAACGAAGGCTTAGCAGCAGCGAGAAATGAGGAAGTTCGATCCATGGCCTGTTTTCTTTAAGCGAGAGTGGAATCGGAATTGGCCCTTCCTGGTTGGCTTCGCCATCACCGGAACCCTAATCGTCAAGTTCACCGCTGGTCTTACAGAGGAAGATGCTAAGAAGTCTAAGTTCGTTCAAGAGCACAGGAGGTAACCTATCTATCACCATTCTTCAAACTCTATTATTGCTGTATGAAATGAGTGCGCCTCTCATGTTTCCGATCGTGGAAAGCTGAAACAGTGACTCGTTAACTCGATGGCACAATACTCAGCTCTTTATGAATAAATTGATTATAGATTGTTAGTGGTAGCACGGGTCCCCTCTCCCTCCGGTTAGGCTAATGATAAAATCCCAGGATGAAAGGAGCATTAGGATGCACCATGCAAGAATAATTCCAGGGAAAGTCATGGCTGAAATGATTGGTGTATTGGTATTAGGCCTCTCTTGTCCTTCATGCCCCAGTTGATTTTCTTGCTGCATTGCCAAATCCTATCATTATTATTTTCTTTTAAGCCATCCTAGCTTATGGATTCGGTTAACGAGGTTGTTTCGTTCTTATGTTCCAGGTGATTCCAAGTGGTGTGTATGGCTTCGAGCTCTGCACTTTGTTTTCAGCGTCATAGTCGAGAGGTTTGCATGTCTTGGTGTTATAGATTGTAATAACAGAAGAGGGTTTCGGCATTGATCTTTGATTAACAATGGAAAAAGATCCTTGCCAAGCTTTCCATTAAACAATAGATTGACTTTTCGATTTTTTGGTTGAGTCGTTCACGTCAATCCTTATGCTTGAAAATATACATGATATTGTTTTTAGCAATGGCATTCATCTACAGAAAGTGATTTACCTTTTTGCCTTGTTTTCGTTTTCTATTAAACATACAAATCCATTTCCACAAATGGATTCAGTTTCCCATCAATATCACCGGGATAAAAATAGAATATAGGATGCGAGTGTTTTTTCAATTTAATTTTTAATAAAATATATATTTCTCAAAAGAAAATCTAAAAAAAAAAAATGATAAGTCAATGCTTGTTTTTGTGACAATGGATTATAAAGGCAGCCCCATGCTGAACAAAGAAGACGCAGAAAGGTAGCCAGCAGAGAGCAGACTATTGCTACATGAAGAAGACAGGCAAAGAACGAGGCATCATTGATAAAAAGGAAAAATAAAGAAAGAAAGAAAGAAAATGGAGAAGGTAATAAGGCTTCAAAGTTTGGACTGGAAAAAGAAGTTTCAGTTAGATTGAGAGTTGGGACCAATTACTTGGTAGTCAACGAAATATTGAAGCGTCCAAAAGAATACTAGATCAGCAGCTCGTGTCGTGTTCACCATGTTAATCAAGGTAGCACTAGGGA